CATTGGAAATCTCATTCATAGCCTGTCGATGTGGACTAATGTAGAAATGTCTAATGGATGAATTCATGGAGCGGGCTGAACACCAGAACTCTGTGCGTAAAGCCCAAGGGCTTAAAAGAGCATGCCCCATTCAGACGGCCATAACATGTCACCCGGGAAGAGTTATAGGGCTTGTAAGATACCGTTGGAAAGCTCATTTAGAGCCCATCAGAAGTTCGTTGATGTGGACTAATGTGGAACATCTAGCGGATGAATTCATGGAGCAGGCTGAACGTCAGAACTCCATGCGTAAAGCCCAAAAGGCTTACATGAGCATACCACATTCAGATGGCCATAACTTTTCATCTGGGAAGAGTTACGGGGCCTGTAAGATACCGTTGGAAATCTCATTCAAAGCCCGTCGACATGGACTAATATAGAATTTCTGACAGATGAATTTATGGAGCGGGTTGAATGTCAGAACTCCGTTCGTAAAGCCCAAAGGGCTTAAATGAGCATGTCCCATTCAAACGGTAATAACTTTTCATCCGAGAAGAGTTACGGGGCCTGTAAGATGCTGTTTGAAATCTCATTCAGAGCCCGTTGACATAGACTAATGTAGAATGTCTGACAGATGAATTCATGGAGTGGGCTAAACGTTAGAACTCCGTGCGTAAAGGCCAAAGGGCTTATATGAGCATGCCCCATTCAGACGGCCATAACTTTTCATCCGGGAAGAATTACGGGGCCAAGAAGATACCGTTGGAAAGCTCATTCAGAGCCTGTCAGAAGTCTGTCAATGATGACTAATGTAGAACATCTGGCGGATGAAATCATGGAGCAGGTTGAACGTCAGAAATCTACACATAAAACCCAAAGGGTAAAAATGAGAATGTCCCATTTAGACGACCATAACTTTTCATCCGGGAAGAGTTACGGGGCATATAAGATACCGTTGGAAATCTCATTTAGAGCCCGTCAATGTAGACTAATTTAGAATGTCTGACGGATGAATTCCTGGAGCGGGCTGAACATAAGAACTCTGTGCGTAAAGCCTAAAGGGTTTAAATGATCATGCCCCATTCAGACAGCTACAACGTTTCATCCGGGAAGAGTTACAGGGCCTGTAAGATACCGTTGGAAAGCTCATTCAGAGCCCGTCAGAAGTCCATTGACGTGGACTAATGTGGAACATCTGGCAGATTAATTCATGGAGCAGGCTGAACGTTAGAACTCCGTGCGTAAAGCCCAAAGGGCTTAAATGAGAATGTCCTATTCAGACGGCCATAACTTTTCATCTGGGAAGAGTTACGGGGCCTGTAAGATACAGTTGAGAATCTCATTCAGAGCCCATCGACATGGAGTAATGTAGAATGTTTGACAGATGTATTCATGGAGCAGGCTGAACGTCAATACTCCGTGCGTAAAGCCTAAAGGGCTTAAATGAGAATGTCCCATTCAGACGGCCATAACTTTTCATCCAAAAAGAGTTACGGAGCTTGTAAGATACCGATGGAAATCTTATTCAGAGCCCGTCAATATAGACTGATGAAAAATTTCTAACGAATGAATTCATGGAGCGGGCTAAACGTTAGAACTCTGTGCATAAAGCCCAAAGGGCTTAAATGAGCATGCCCCATTCAGATGGCCATAACTTTTCATCCAGGAAGAGCTACGGGGCTTGTAAGATAGCGTTGGAAATCTCATTTAGAGCCCTTCGATGTGGGCTAATGTAGAATTTCTGACGAGTGAATTCATGGAGCAAACCAAACGTCAGAACTCCGTGCGTATAGCCCAAAGAGCTTAAATGAGCATGCCCCATTCAGACGGCCATAACTTTTTTTCGAGAAGAGTTACGAGGCCTATAAGATACCGTTGGGAATCTCATTCAGAGCTCGTTGATGTGGACTAATGTAGAATGTTTGACGGATTAATGCATGGAGTGGGTTGAACATTAGAACTCTATGCGTAAAGCCCAAAGGGCTTAAATGAGCATGTCCCATTCAGACGACCATAACTTGTCATCCGGGAAGAGTTACAGGGCCTGTAAGATACCCTTGAAAATCTCATTCAGAACCCGTCAACGTGGACTAATGTAGAATGTCTGAAAGATGAATACATGGAGCCCCTCTTCCACTTGATATTGAATCTGATGCTCCATAAGCTGAGCTTGATGCTTTTAAAAAGTGGAGAGAGGATAGTAAAAGGGCTATAAATTACATGCTTGCCTCAATGAATAGAGAACTTCAGACTAAGCATGAAAAGGTTTCGAATGCTTATGATATCCTCACATCTCTACAAGAGTTATACAGCGAAAATCCAAGTGTGGTTAAATATGAGTTATGTGCATCCCTCTTTAGCATGAAGTTGAGGGAAGGGGTACCTCCAGATGATCATACTCTTAAGATGATCAATGTATTAGGTCGACTGGATGGATATGGGGTGGTCATGCCAGACCACCTCAAAATGAATAAAGCAACCAAAGAGAGGTACAAAAGTTGAACCCATGAATAAGAGCTTCAAGAAGCCAGCGGCGAAGGCAGAGAAAGCTAATGCAAAGGGAAAATGTTTCCACTATGGAGAAGACGGACACTGGAAGAGGAACTGTCCTTAGTACCTGAACAGTTTGAGGAAAGGCAAAGGAAAACCAGGTACGAACCAATGTCTTATGATTTAATATGAATTAAGTGTTAATTCGGATGGTCATTGGTGTGCTGTCGTAGGCAACCAAGATTAAAAACCTTCCTAACCTAACTACTGAACTGTAAATAGGGTAAGCAATGGTCGATCCCACGAAGAGTGTCTAGCCGAATTTTCGATGATGTGAATAAGGCTGGGGGTTTTTGAGTAAAACAGAAAACAGAAAACAGAAAACAATCTTAGCCAAAAACAAAAACAAAAACAATTCAATTTGAAATCAATTAATATAACGAAACTTGGTCTCCGTCAACATCCACCATCGGAATCTTACAACTGATCATTGATGCAAAAGTAAATCAATTCTTACTTTGAATATTCACCGTTGGAACTATTTTCCTATCTCTCCTTAATTGTAATTAATTAAGAAACAAGCGATCTTAATTAATCTTACCACTAAACAACCCTTGACAAGCGCTCAAAATTTAATCTAGTGGCAACCTTAAGAATTAGAGAAATCGATGAAGCTAAACAACACAAACTCAAGCGGTTGTATTTAATTTTGTTGAGTGTTCCTCTTAAGATTTCTAATTTTTGACACAGCAAATTAATAACCCTAACTGCTTTACAAGTTAGAGGGATCAAACAATTACGGATTTAATATCTAACTTAGCAGTAGATTGCAACAATTAATAAACTAGTAGGCCTCCTAGTAATTAAACGAAACAATCATAAAATTAGGCACAAAAAAACATCCAATACTCAAACACGAAAATTGAACACTAAGAAAAATAGATTATATCTCACAGTTTATTGATTCTGAGGCCTCCGTTTCCTTCGACCAAGTTATAAAAGTTTAGTCTCTCATTGCCATAAACAAAACTCAAAGAGAATTTTTTTAGAGAGGAGAAGAGAGAGGCGTGGTACCCTTTTCAAAACCTAATCTGATCTACTTAACAAAAATCCAGTTCAAGTATTTGAATCCCACTAAATCTCCTAAAAGAAATAATCTAATATCCTAAAATAACATTAATCCTGATCTGATTCTAATTAATTGATAATAAGATACAGTCCTAAAATAAAATAGGAAAGTGGTGATTCTGAGCTGTAACTTGCATGCCACATGTCTTCAAATCTTCCAATAATAAACTGCCCAATTGATTTGCATGACAAGGCAGAATGCTCCAGGACGTCGGCAGTGCAGGTGCGTCAACTTCAAGCCCGATTACAACCTTTATGCAGCGAGTATCTCTCCAAACTCAAAACATGAAAGTTGTAGATCTCTTTCTTAGTGTTCCACAACATTTTGAATCATCTCAATCGGATCTCAGATGAGAGAGTTATGTTCAGATTACGAAGCAGTGTCGAAACTGTCCGAATTCACCTAATTAGTTCCATTTTGCAATTAACACCTCTATTTGCTTCCTAAATCAAAATAAAGTAATAATGAGTACAATTAGGCAACAAATACGTATAAAAGACTAAACATTAAGGGGGGTAAATATGACATTTTGCATTCGCATCAAACTCCCCCACACTTGGCTTTTGCACGTCCTCGGGCAAACTAATTCAAACAAACACTACACTACACTCAAGTCATATCAAGAACACCATCATGTCAAGTCATATTAAGAACACCATCATGATGCATAAGCAATAGTATTTAATCCATGCATATTTGTACCTAACTTAGGAAGCAGCAAAATAAAATAAAGTAGAGTTAATGACATTCATCTCTCTTCATCATTTTCCACAATTACTCTCAATCAGTCAATGCAAACAAGGAAACTAATCACAACCAATTCATGTACATCTCACCTCTCAACTTTTTCCTCAACTATTTCTCTTCACTACTACAAACTGGGTAGCAAACTAGGGATATATTTTTTTTTTTTTTTTTTTCTGTTTCAAATGAGTGCATTTTAGCTCCATCTCATTTCATGATTGTGTTTATGAGTGAATGCGTTTTACGCTCCATTTCGACTCATCACATACCCGTTGTTTTTTTTTTTTTTCCTATCATCCTAAGTCAAAGAATATGCTAATAACAAAGTCAAGTTACTATTTCATGCATCACTAGATGTTCAAAGACATGAATTAAAGCATAAACCTCCTAAAAACAAAAGCTTTTTTTTTTTTTTTTTTTTTTTTAAACAAACATAACATACACCTAAAGCCTAACTTCTCCCCCACACTTAAAACTTACATTGTCCCTAGTGTAAAACCCAAATGTAGAGACAGGCAAATAAAACAAATAAAAAAAAAAAAAGGCAAATAAAAAAACTAAATTCAAAGGAAAAGAAAATCAAATCTGAATTCTTGGGTTGCCTCCCAAGCAACACCTTTGGTTAAAGTCGTTAGCCCGACTCTCTGCATGGTCATCACTACTCATGTATCGACTCCTCCAATCCCACCTCCTCAATATTACAAACTTGGAACCCTTCATAGTAAGGCTTAAGCCTATGTCCATTGACCTTAAACACCTTGTTTGTTTTCAAACTTTGGATTTCCACTGCACCATGATGAAAAACATTAGTCACAATAAAAGGTCCCACCCAACGAGAACGTAACTTACCCGAAAATAACTTCAGCCTTGAATGAAAAAGAAGGACTCTCTGTCCAACAGAAAAATTCTTCCTTGAGATCATCTTGTCATGAAAGGCCTTAGTCTTTGCTTTGTAGATGTGTGAACTCTCGTAGGCATCATTCCTCAACTCCTCAAGTTCTTGCAATTGCAACTTCCTGTTAACACCAGCTTCTTTCATTTCCATATTGCAATGTTTGATTGCCCAATATGCCTTGTGCTCTAATTCCATTGGAAGATGACACAGCTTACCGAACACTAATCTGTATGGGGACATGCCAATAGGTGTCTTATATGCTGTTCTATATGCCCATAATGCATCATCTAATCTCAAAGACCAATCCTTCTTGTTTGGGTTCACTGTCTTTTCCAAAATTGACTTGATCTCTCTATTTGACACCTCAGCTTGGCCATTGGTTTGTGGGTGGTACGATGTGGAAACCTTGTGTGTGACACAGTATTTCTTAAGCAATGCCTCCATTGTCCTGTTGCAAAAATTAGTGCCCTTATCACTTATTATGGCCATTGGTATCCCAAACCTGACAAAAATGTTAGTTTTAACAAAATCTGCAACAACCTTTGAAGTGTCAGTTCTGGTGGCTTTCGCCTCCACCCATTTAGAAACATAATCAACAGCTAAAAGAATATAAACATTACCAAAGAAAACAGGAAATGGACCAATATAATCAATGCCCCAGACATCAAAAATTTCAACAATTAATATAGGAGATTATGGCATTTGATCTCTACGAGAAATGTTTCCTACTCTTTGGCAATTATCACATGACTTACAAAACATGTAGGCATCCTTGAACAATGATGGCCAATAAAAACCGCATTCTAATACCTTACAAGCTGTCCTCTGTCGTCCAAAATGTCCTCCACATGCATAGGTATGACAGAAGGTTAAAATAGGAATAAATTCATGTTCAGGAATGCACCTTCTTATCACTTGGTTAGCACAATGCTTCCACAGATATGGATCGTGCCAAGCATAATACTTAGCATCACTCTTAATCTTGGTAAATGCCTAACCCATGAATTTCAGCTACCTTAAAACATGGAATATAGAGAGGTAATGATGACCTCCTACAATGCAACAGTTTTGCTTGGTTTGAATTCAAATAGGTAAAGAAAAATACTTATACTAACAGATGTTAGGGTTTCTATGGGTTAAGAATTAGGTCAATTAAGATTGAGGAGTTGAAGGTGAATTTTTGAGCCTCAGTATTCTGTAACTCCAATCAGAAATGAATCAGACCAGGTAGAAGGTCCACCATATTAATTCAAAATCATAAAAAAAAGATAACAATGTCTCCAGGGTATTGTTCTAATTGTGAAAGTGACTTTACCCTATAATACTCCGGTATAAAGGCCATAATAAACTATATTAAATCTACAAGCATTCATAAAAGCACAGAATAAGCCGGTCAAATCTTTCAGAATGCAATTTGAACAAAAATCCAAAAAAAAAAAAATGAAGTGATTCAGGAAAAAGAAAATAGAACTGCAAAATATTGTCTGACTTCAAATAGAAGTGGTAGGAAAGAGAAATCATCAATTATACCTTTATCATGCATCAAAATCTGCAGGCATGCCAAGTTCCACAGGACAGAACTGCACAGTCTTTCCAAATAAAGATTTATTTCTTTATTGACTATAACTCAACCATGGAAGCAGACACATCAGAAAGGTCATCAGAGCTAGAAGAGTTTAGAAATTGATTATCTTCCGAGCAGCTTTGCAACAACGAATGATTGGAATCAACGTTTTTCACATGAAGCTCAACACCATCAGACAATGGAACACACATTGCCTCATCAGGAATCAATCCAATATTCCAAATTTCTATTAACTGATTTAAGGCTGAAGAAGACGGATGAAATTGAAATATAAAACTAGTTACCCTCATGAAAGTCCTGTAGTTCAGCTCAATTCTTGCCTCGATGATTTCTTGTAACAATTCTTTGACCATTTTAATATCTCTTTCCCTACAGAAACTAGAAAGCATTACATTATAAATGTGAGCATTAGGAGATAAACCAATCTCTTTCATCTGACTATACAAGGTAGATGCTTCTCCAATCCTCCCACCCTTGAGAAGTCCACAAATGGCAACTGCATATGATACCACATCTAGTGGGTAGTTCTCTACTATGGCTCTTCTAAACAATCTAATGGCTCTATGACATTTACCAGCTTTTATAAGTTTATCTATAATTACAGCATGTACATGTGCATCAAGAGCAGTATGATTCAGAACAATCCCTTGGTACACACTGACTGCTTCATCGATTCTTCTGGCTCCACATAGTCCACAGAGTAATCCAACAAAGCTGTATTTATCAGGTCTCAAACCTCGATCCACCATATCATTATATAACTCCAATGCATGAGTTGGAAAGCCAGCCTCACAAAAGTATCTCAAAAGTGCGTTACAAACTACTAGATCTGCTTCTACTGTAAGTCCACTTACTAACTTGGGTAAAAGAGAAAATCTCCTAGACAAACATATGGTAGATAATAAAGAAGAAAATGTATAAGAGTCTGGAACCAATTTCTGTTTTAACAAACCATGAAACACATCAAGAGCATCATCAAACTTCCCAATTTTTGATAAGCAATCTATTAATACATTGTAAAAAACCAAGTCGGGGGCATGTCCTTTAGATTCCATAGTATTTAAAATACCAAATGCATTAATAACCATTTTGGATTCCATGTATCCCTTAATCAAAGATGTATATGTTACAACATTAGGAGAACAACCAGTCTCGACCATTTTCTCCAATAAATAACCTGCCATATCAAGTCTGCTCAAACGACAAAACCCATCAATTAGTGCACTCCAAACATTCACAGATAAAGAAATTCCCAATGTAAGAATGAGACCCAACACGTGATACACCTGCACCATCATACCCTTCTTGCAGAAACAATTTAAAACCATCTCAAATGTCTGAACATTAGGATAAAACCCCTTCCTCAACATAATCCTAATAACATCCTGCACTTTTGCTATATCATTATACTTACATAAATTACATAGTGCAATATTAACACTCAAGAAATTTGGTGCCTGGGTCTTTTTCAAAACCTTAATACCCAGATCAACATGCCCAACCTTGAACAATACATCCATAATAATTAATAACATTGCGTGCAAATGTGTTGGGCATAAAACCAAATTTATCCATTTCCTCAAAAGTCTCAAAAACCTGCTCATGCATTCCTCCACGCCAATACATCCTCAACAAAAGCATGAAAGTCTGAGCCTTTGTTACACACCCAATATTCTCTAATTCAGTAACAAGTCCTCCAACAGTCCTATATTGTTCAGTTAAACGAGCAACCACGCTAATCATGTGACCAATTGATTGACTATCATGAAAATAAGTCCGTTGTTTTGCACACCAAAGGAAAAAACTGAAAGCAATCAAATCAGAGGGACAATTCAACAAAGTCGAATATATCAAGTGAGGTGTAAGAATGATTGGTTTCCTTCTGTTGGGAAAATATTCATTTTGGTCATAAATATTTTGTACATGGTGTGTTGTTGTTGCACATACCTGATGGATTGACTTAAAGGATAGTGTTCTCCAGATTTTCCTTCTTTGTGCCGTGTGCAATAAACTCTTTCTATATGTCCACAGCATATTGAGCTTTGCAAATGGGAAAGATAATAGAAATAAAGTAGCAGCAAAATTAGAGAAAAGAGGGCTGATAGAGTGAAAAGGGTTTTAATCAGAGATATGCTTCCTCCATCCATAGCATATCCCCCATTCCATAAATTCACAACAGTGATCGAAAACAGTGTTTAGAACTTAATCCCAAGATAAGCAAAACTAGTTCCCATCTTATTGCAAATCTATTTCAAATGAATCATCCATTGCTCCTGAAAATAGCGCCAGGCCCACAAGAATTCTAATCAAGAATATATAAAAGGAATCATCCATTGTCAGAAAAATTAAGCAACAATAATCTTATTCATGTAAATCTAATCCAGATTGAAATACCCCAAATCCAATTAGATAGAAGTTAATATTATCTAACATCGACATTGAACTGTAACTTAGAAATTCATCTAAATTTTCTATTTAATAAAGTTAAACAACTTAATGAATTTCAGCAAATTATTAAACATAACCAAAATTTTCTAATAAAAAAATAAGAAAAAATAATTGGGAAGTGCATCTTGTTCCTGCAATCCCATCTTCTTCTTTGTTAACCACCAAAACTCCCACCAGTCCTCTCCAGTCTCAACCGCCACCACTGTTCTATCATAATCAAAATAAAATCCCAAACTAATAAACCACCAAAAAACAGAAGAAATTCACCACAAAAACAAAAACCCAGGAGCAGACATAGCCTAAGTTACGAACACCAACACTACCGATGCAGTTGACACTTCCGATTCCGTCAACACTTCTGACGTCGTCGTCACTTAGACCTCTCCACCATGGTGGTTACCCGTCCCCTGACTTTGAGACAAGCATTTGTGGATTCCAAGCCGTGGATTTATTGTGGGGTCGAAGGTACAATATGTTTCTCAGTGAGCTTATTATAGAATGTAAGAATCAGAAGCCAAGATAAGCCGGCAAGTTGTGGCGGAGACTGTTAAGTAGGTGATTTGAGATGACGAACGGTGGTGAAAGCCGATGGGTTTTGTCAGGATTTAGGTTGGCTTTAGATAACTAATATTGAAAAGGGAGAATAACATTTTCCCACCCAAGGTTTGAAAAATAACTTCCCACCCTTCAAGTTTCTAAATGACACTTTTCTTATGTTTTCCATTAATATTTTGCCGAAAAGATGAAAATACCCTTAAATACTTGACTTTTTAAATTTTTAATTATTTTTAATTTACCAAAAATTCAAATATTAAAAAGTCAAAAAAGAAAAAATAGTTAATCCCACTTAAAAAAGTAAGAATAATACTATAGAATTGTTTAAAGTTTGACTTTAATATTTATTTATAATGTCATCAATATTTCATCACTATTATTCAATAATCTACTAAATTTATAATGTTTGTCATTTTTACTAATTAACATAGAAAATCAATAATCCAAATTAATTAAATAAACAAAGGAAAAAAATGTATCTTTACACTTGAACTAATAAATAATTTAGTAAAGAATTTGACTTAAATAAATTTTAATTTATAATAAACTAATTAAGAAATAAACTATTTAAGGGTATTTTTGTCTTTTCAGTCAAATATTAACAGAAAACACTAACAGAACTTGATGCAAGGTAGGAAAGTGTCATTTTAAAACTTGATGAGTGGGAAAGGTTATGTCGCCAAACCTTGGGTGGGAAAATGTTATTCTCCCTATTGAAAAAAGAAAAAAAAATTGGGGTGCATTTGGTTCATTATTTTGGGTAGGATTTTGGACATAATATTGGGTAGTTGAATCGGGGAGTATTACGAGGTAAAATTTAAAAATTTATAAAAAAAACCCCTAGGTTTACTAATTTAATTAAACACCCCAACATATAAAATGACAAAAACACCCCCCGCCACCCGTAGTGCCCTATTCCGACCACCACCGCTGGAATCTGACCATAAAATTATGTTACGACACAGACCGTAATGCGTCGATATGGCCTTTTCCGGCCAAATCCACGATGGATCTGGCTGGAAAAGGACAAATATACGGCCAAATGTGGCCGTCGACGGCTGGAAAATGCCAAAGAAGACTATCTTTGGCTGTCAGCGACGGCCAAAGATATGATCGTCGTTTTCTGTCAACGATAGTCAGATCTGGCCTTTTTCGGCCAGATCGGTGAACTATAGGCCAATGGCGGTCGTGGTGTAAGCCGTTGTACAGATTTCGGCTATCACCAATGGTGGTTGTTGGAATCTGGCAAATATGGGTTGATGGGGGTGTTTTTATTAATTTTTAAACTTTTTTTAGGGGGTATTTAATGAAATTAATAAGCTTAAGGGGTCTAAAAATAATTAAAAAAATATAGTAATATTTCTAGAATAATGTGCCAAATAATATTTAGAAAATATGATTGGGAATATGGGTAAAAAAATTGAACCAAACGCAATTATTTTTATAAAATATGTCAAATGAGAAATGACTAAAGTGTTCTTTGATTATTTTATTATTTTATTTTATTTTATTATTTTATTTTATTTTATTATTTTTACAAAATTAGCGTTGAAGATAGCTTTTGATGATTTGCTGTCAAAAAAACCAGCTAAACCTCAGGAGTAGAAATAGAATATGAAATTCTCCTAAATATCTTATTGTATTTATATTAATTCAATGTACTGCTTTGTCAGATCTTTTGTATATCTTGCTCTTGATCTCACTTTTCATTAACTTTACTTTTCGTTACTATATTCTTAGATTGATTTTAATCATATAAAACAATTAGTTAAATTTATATTATAATTTATTTACTTATATATCATACTAAAATATAATAATTTATTTAAGAAATTCAATATTAAATTACTATTAATATAACTTATATAATCAGTTTAATCTACTTACTCGTATATAGTTATCATATATTCAAAAGTTATAATAGTGTAATGCATAAATCAGTAAAAGTTTTCATATACATAGTACATACCCTCAATGTTAATTTCAAAATAAAATATAGTATTTAATAAAAAAATTAATTTATTTTTTGTGGATGTAAAATATTTTTTATATTTTAACCTAAAAATACTAAGTAATACATTAAGTTTTGTTTAAGTTAGTGACACAATATTTAAAATAAAGCTATATTTTATGGAAGCCAGATTATCATATACCCGACTATTGGTTCAGAGAATATTGTATTATTAGGAATGTTAATTAAATATGTTTAGTTAGATTAAAATAAATTGGTAAGTATAAATAATTAATATGTTTGGTTGCAAGGAATAAAAAACAATAATAATATACTTACAAAAGTTTCCATACAAAATGAGGTGACAAAAAATGAATGGATTCACTCCTCCATTCATTTTTTGTCACATCACTTTGTATGAAGATTTTTGTAAGATTTCTTTATAAATATAACATTACTCATAAAAGAATGCTGGGAGAAGCCTTTTACTAAATTGTCTTTCTTTTTTAATATTATTATTATTTGGATTATTTTTTAACCCCTATATTTGAGAATTTAGCTAAAACACTCCAGTTACAATAAAAGTTAAAATTTAACAAAATACCCCTAACTACCCAAGAAGCCAGTGCACGACCAAAAAAGGAAAATAAGGATAGGGTTTTGTAGATGAGAGTGAGGTGGTTTGATAGGTGGTAATGGGGTGAATTTCCAACCGTCCAAATCGCCGAAGAAAGGCTTGCAAAATGACAAATCGAACTAAAACACAATGGGTGTAGTTGTCAATCAAGAAGTGCAACGAAGATGTGCTTCGCAAGGTTTTAAAGAGGAGGTGAAGAGGAGTCGATTAGTGCAAGTGGGGGTGATTTTTGATGGAAAATGTGACCGAAAAAGGGCCGACAAAATGGGCAAACGTGCGAAAAGCAATGGGCTTCGTTGGCGATTGGAGGTAGCTCCAGTGACAAGGTTTGGTGGGATTTGAAGAGGAAAAAAGAGGAGTAAGATAGTGGTGGTTGGGGCCGAAAGTGATGTTGAAATCAGCCCAGATCAGACTTAATACCGGTGGTTGCATAGAGGAAAAAATCACCCAAAAAAAAAAAGCCCAAAATCCAACCACTCATGCACTGTTCAGGCAACGACGGTGATGGCCAGCAACCGGTGGTGGTCTTGGGTGGCTAGAGATATTAATTTGGGATGTAATTTGGTTGAAATACAAGGGTAATAATGTCTTAAAAATCTTGTGTATAAGAAAAAAATAGTCCATGAATATTCTTGTAAATTGTTTTCAGAACAATGGCATTATTGTCTAAAATTTTTATTAATCAGGGGTAAAATTATAACAAAATTAAGATTACCAAGTAATCTTAAAAAACCTAAGAAATTGGTGGTATTCAGATTACCACTTATATAATCTACATTGATTGTTATCAGTATTGGAGAATTACCAAAATATTTATTATTTGACAACCAAATATGGTAATGTTAGTAATATAAAATAATATTATTAGAATAATGGGGGATTACCCCAACCAAACACACCCTTAAGGTTTTCAAATTTATCATTGGATGATAACTTTTACACTTTTTATCATAGACTAACTTCAAAGTTTGAAATTATATCATGGATACCCCTTTGCATTATCAAATGGACTTCCAAAGTTTAAAAACTTTATCACATGAAACCCTTTGCACTAACTCCGTCACATGGTCGTTAGGTTAGCAAAACATTTGATTATAAGGACAAAGTTACCATTTTACACTAACACTTTCTTAGAGGACCAGTGTTACCATTTCATTTATCTACTGTTAGGGCCAAAAATCATCTTGGGTTTAACGAGGCCTAATAACGAAATAAACATGTCACGGCCCAAGGTCTCAACCCAATCCCGATTGGGCCTACGCTTAAAATCACCTTGCGAACTACCCACTCTATGAGTTGGGCTATCCTATAAGTTAAGTTAAACTGGGTTTCAGCCCATTAGCCTGCAACAGTCTATAAATAGGAAATCAGAATCTCATTCTATTTCCTCTTCTACTAAGATTTCAAATGTCACTCAAACTATTAAACTTGATCTAATAAGGTCAAGAAATCATATCTCTTTCATGATAGGGATTATCTCCCAAAATAGGACTTAGTGTCCTACTAAGATTCCAAATCTTATTTAAATTATTAAACTTAATCTGATAAGGTCAATAAATCATATTTTTTTCTTGATAAGGATTATCTCCCAAAAAGAGGACTCAATGTCCTATTAGGATTCCAACCCCTTGGGTTCACTATAAAAACAGAGGTTTGCCCTCTCATTAAGTGGCAATCTCCCATAGTCAATCTACACGACTCAAAACCATCAATTTGCTCATAAAGTTCTTGCTCCCAAGAACTCGACGCCTCCACCGTAGTCCTAGCTTCCGACAAGACTCCTGGTAATTCTTCATCTCCTTAATTCTTATCAAATAATCTCTTTCAGCCTTGCTGACTTGAGCGTCGGAGTGCCTACGGCAAACACCACCTTGGTGTTTTTCGGAAGCTTCACGCTTACCCTTTCATGTGTGCAGGTCTAGCGGATTGTCAGTGGCCTCAACCTCACGGGATCAGACCCTATTTGCACGACAGTAGATTTTTTGCATCTACAGTTTGGCGCCCACCGTGGGGCCCTGACAATCATTTGCCAACGATAACTTACAACATGGGAGGCGACACGGAACTCCTTTTGACTGATAATGCTAATCAGAAAATCCCGTCACGATAAGATTTTTTTTTTCTTTTTTCTTTATTTTTCTTCGTTTGTTTTATCTATTCACATGCCATATTATATCTATTCGGCATATCGTAATTTATTTTATATTATATTCATTCAGTGAGTAGTATAAGACCTTGAAGCTCATATTATTGTTCTAAATTAATAATAGAATAATAATGTGTCAGAGTTTAAAGTGGTGTTCCTAAACCACTTGATTCATTGACTTTGCTTCAACAATCTCTCTTCTCTAATCCTCTGTTCAGATAATGTAACGGCCCCACACAGATGGCCGGCCATGATCACACAGCATGGCAGGATATCTCTCCCCCCCTTAAGGAGATTTCTTTCGCCTCCCTCACCACTCGAACCCAAGACCAAGGGGCTATAGTCAATTGGGGAGCATGGTGAGTACCATCAGGCTAGCTGATAAGGTAATAGCTTCTGTCTCTAACCTCTTTACACGCGCCTTTTCACTGCAGTCATCAAACTACTAGGTGTTCCACCACTGTCATCAGAGCTTTGTAATGCATTACCCGCCACAAAACCAGTCAATTTGTTCATTCAAGAAGATGTCGTAATACGCCAGCATCTCCAGGACCTCCGCTCCATTAGAAGGTAACTAAAACTCGACCAGCCTTGATCCAATCCCAATTCAACTTCACGGAGATTTGCCACCACTTTGAAACCCAAAACCTGTCCATCTGTTCTCCTAAAATCGCCCTAACAGCTTCTCCAATCACACAGTGAAATCCTAAAAACACAGCAGTAATCCTCTCAAAACACCTAAAGTTATCTACTAAACATGAAGAGAAACCCCCCAAAACAAAACCTGCTTAAGTGACGTCACCCCACTCTCGCCTAATCTCCTTACCCCACCGTATTCCAAAACTCCAAATTCGAACCATCACCCCTTCCCAACCAATACATATCAACTCAAACCACCTTTACATCACAATCTCCAGCACACCTATCACAAAAGCCCTCACGCTCCTCACTGTCTGCAAACTTTCCACTTCCCACTACAACTCAGCACCACTAAACAACACAAGTAGTCCACTTAATGATATTTGGGTCTGCACATACGATATTAACGTGCCCATTCAGATCAGCCCAAAAGTGAATCACGTGCCCACTCAACTTCAACTAGTTTAGCTTCAACATAGAAAGTAACACCCCTCTCTCCACTCGGTCCAGCAAGCATAGGTGGCAGCACTTGAAGGGGAAAGGTATGTGTCATTGTCTCCTTTTAACTACCATTCTATTTGGTTAAATCTTTCTCTATTCGGCCCATTACTTAAATACATGCAGCCCATTTTTTCATTTAGCTCACTTTTTATTCAGTCCATAACACATGCACATCATGCATATTAACTCTCCATTCGACTATTTGCTTAAAACATGCATGCCATGCATGTCACTGCTCCAACTTCAATCAAATGTTTTCAACTACAAAGTCGATCACACCGATTAGGCCACATAGCCCTCAAAGGTTTCAACTACAAGTCAATTATGCCGACTCGACTGCAAGCTCCATACAAGCTCCACTTGTCATACACCATCGGATCAGCCCTACCCGATTCACATATTTACACCTTCAGATCGACCCTGCCCGATCCACGAATTTACACCTTCGGATCGACCCTGCCCGATTCACGGATTTACACCTTCGGATCAACCCTACTTGATCCATAGATTTACACCTTCGGATCGACCCTGCCCGATCCACGAATTTACACCTTCGGATCGACCCTGACCGATCCACGGATTTACACCTTTGGATCGGCCCTGCCCAATCCACGGATTTACACCTTCGGATCAACCCTGCTCGATTCACGGATTTACACCTTCGGATCGACTCTGCTNTATAAACTAAACTAGTTTACATTAACAACCCATAAATTTACCCTTTTACCCTTTATAAAAGGTTATTTTCATTCATCTCATTAATCTTAATACTTTAAGATATAATAATTAAATATAATTAATTATTGCTTGACCATTTTAACCCTTAAAATATCACAAACAATTTTCTATGTAACTATTACCATAGAAATCTCGTCATTACCCTTGGAAGATGCTAGCCCTCTCCGGATAATCATTTCTCTCTCTCATCCTTCTCTAACTTCTTAAGGCTATTGGTGTGACCATGTAGGTCCATCATGGATTAGCCGTGAGCCGATTCTGGATGAATCCAGAAACTTGTCCGGAGGCCCAATGATTATGGTAAACATCTAACAATGTGTCATACTCCCTAAACCACGATGAAGAAATACTTCATTGAACCCATTCCAGATCATATGTACCATGCAGGTAAAGCCTCTCCATTGAAATATCCTGATCAAGCACGGATTCATGGAACGTCAAAATCCTAAACTTGATCTTTTACCGAATCGTCAATCAATATGTCCGGAACTTGTCATCACAAACTTGCTTTTGTATGACTAATAATAGACTCTGGCCAGAGATTCTGATTTCCGACATTTATCGATGTTCATCTAGGAACTAGAATCTGGATGGAGTCAACGGTACTCCTGATCCTATATTTCTGAGTCAATGGATCCCCTCTTGACCATCGTTCGTTTCCGCATATGAACAACGCATGACCAAATAGGTTTTATTATAGGAAACATGATTAGTCTCGTACTTATATACCGTATGAACCATACGCATCTGTATCGGATCCGACTACAATGTCTCAGGTCAAAGGACTACATCGTGCACTGATATAACCAAACGATAAATCATTGACTACATGTTTTTCCAAGTGATTTGTCGTTATTCGGTCATGTTCGAAAAAACAGTTCATCAACCGCTAATCCATACCAATGCCCCAGTGACATAACTATCATCGTCATCCGTACTTATATTAACTCATGATATCATTCGGAAGCATCCGATATGTCTACTGTGCAATATAGTTGCCCAAATTATATTGCTTTCGTAGGGAACCCTTTTTTATAATTCATTTACCGATTAAATGAATCATCTGGACAATTCATATACTTACTTTATTTTAAATGCATGACTGAATAAAGGAAGCAATTTATATATGAATTGAAGAATTCTTTCTTCTATTATTTATAATATATAGATACAAGACAAAATGTTCTGAAACCGACAACACGAATGGTTTCTAGGGCATACACTAATATACACTAACAATAAAGAGGTATTCATGATACGGTTTCAAACTTTGAGGGTAGTCTATGATAAAAAGTGCAAAAATTGTCATTCGAATGATAAATTTGAAAACCTTAAGAGTAGATTATGAAAACATTTATTAAATTAAAAGTTTATTGTAAATAATAATGATTTTATATATTATTAGAATAAGTTAGGATTACGTTAATATAAAATATTTGGTTAAAAATGTGTTTTAAAAAACATATCAACTCAACAAATATTCATAACGTCAATTTTTCATAATAGAATACCAAACAAGTTTTAAAAAAATTTGAAGTTGAAAGTAGTTTTTGAATATTACATCAAGCCTATTAGTTATTAGATTTTAAAAATATTAAGAACATAACTTATTAGATTTTATTAAGAATACAACTCAAATTATTGGATCTTTTACTTTTTAAACTTGCTTAAGAATCATGGATCAAAGAGACACGTAGGAGGTGTTTGTTTTATAAGCTCTGAAATCAAACTGATTTATTTGTTTATAATTTTTTTGGGCTTATAAACCCCCCAAGAAAAAAGTTTGGAAGAATCTACTTTTTTTTTTTTTCCGTTTATAAGCATTATACTTATAAACTACTTTGATCATATATATTACTACATTATCTATATTTAATTCATTATATTTGTTCGTTTGTTTATTTTGTATAAAGAATCTAAAAATTATTCATATAAATTTTTAATAAAATATTTGTCTATAAAATATTTACTTATTTAATCTAAAATTAAATTATACTATAATATGATCGAACTATATTTTGATAATACTATACTAAAAAGTTGAGTTAATATCATTTATTATTTGATGAAATAATGTAATATCATTTTTAGTTATTTAAATAATAAAATGTATTTATAAACCATATTTTATCAAACATACCAACTATTTATTAATCATATAAATATTTTAATAAAATACATAATTATTTAAATTCTAAATAATTATAAATTCAAATTATCTTGTAAACACCGACGACTTATAAGTCGATTTTCATAAACTTGCCAAATCGAATCTCAATTTGATTTGATTTGTCCTTTCATGGTGCGTTTTAGAACTGGCTACAAGAAAAAAGTCCATTAATTGATAATACGGGGGAAGTCTACGGCTAAACTGTATTATTTTTTGTTCAAGAAATTCATTCCCATAAGGTATACGAAACGGTACGTTTAGCGTTGTCTCAGCGTTTTCGTTCTTTTTTTTGGCTAAAGACTGAAGTAGCCGTAAGCCACTTCTAGACTGAAGAAATGGCGGTTATGTTATCGACAACACCACCAACACCAACTAAGCTGACCCCGAAAAGTATACCAGAAATCCCTGAAACCAAACCCGGTTTCTTCACAGGTAACTTCGCCACTTTCCCTCTTTATTTTCCTTCACTTTCTAACACAAACTATAAGAAGAAACTCTCACTCAAAACTCTAGCTGTAAACAATCATTCAAATTTTGAAGAAACAATAAGTAATCATGCTAGTAGGATCAATAAACCAAGAAAAGGAAGTGCAAGGAATCCACTGTTGAGTGAGGGAAGAGATGAGGATGAGAAGTATGGACCTATTTGCCCTGGTTGTGGAGTGTTTATGCAGGATAAGGACCCTAATCTACCTGGGTATTATCAAAAGAGAAAATTAAGTCTATCAAAACAAGTGGTGTTAGAAACTGAGGATGGTTTAGAGGATGATGACGTTGAGGCGCTTTATGATGACGAAGAGGAGGAACAGGGGTTTGTGGATGGAGAATTTGATGAAAGTAGTGGGGAGGAAAGTGGGCATGGGCATGGGGATGTGCTTGATGATTGGGATTCTGATGAATGGGAAGCTAAGCTTTGGGGTGGAGAAGAGGATAATTTGGATTTGGATGGTTTTAAACCTGCAGGTGTTGGGTATGGTAACATTACCGAGGAGACGTTGGAGAGGTTGAAAAAGAAAAAAATTTCGAAAGCTGAGAAGAAGAGGATGGCTAGGGAGGCGAAGGAGGAAAAAGATGAGGTTACTGTATGTGCTCGGTGTCATTCATTGAGGAATTATGGGCAAGTGAAGAACCAACTGGCAGAAAACTTAATACCAGATTTCGATTTTGATAGGTTGATTTCCTCCAGATTGATAAAATCTAGTGGTAGTGCAAATGCTAGTGTTATTGTCATGGTTGTTGATTGTGTTGATTTTGACGGCATGTTTCCGAAACGGGCTGCCAAGTCCCTGTTCAAGGCAATGGAAGGGATAAAGAATGATGCGAAGATAAGTAAGAAGTTTCCAAAGCTTGTTCTTGTGGCTACAAAGGTTGATCTCCTTCCATCACAAGTTTCACCAACTAGGTTAGATAGATGGGTTCGGCACCGTGCTAAGGCTGCAGGAGCACCTAAGCTGAGCGAGATTTTCTTGATTAGTGCGCGTAAGGATTTAGGTGTCAGAAATTTGTTGACATTCATCAAGGAATTGGCAGGTCCTCGAGGGAATGTGTGGGTTATTGGGGCTCAAAATGCAGGCAAATCTACTCTAATCAATATGTTGGCAAAGAAAGAAGGGTTGAAAGTTTCAAAGCTTACAGAAGCTCCAATTCCTGGGACAACGCTTGGAATTTTGAGAATCGGGGGGATTTTGCCAGCGAAAGCAAAGATGTATGACACCCCAGGACTCCTACATCCTCATCTAATGGCCATGAGATTGAATCGGGATGAGCAGAAAATGGTTGAAATTCGAAAGGAGCTACAACCTCGAACTTATAGGGTCAAGGCAGGTTACCCCTTATCCATTATCTGCATTTGGACCAATTATTTCATGTGTGCAACTATTCTTGTATGTATGTCTATTACAGGTAATCTGTCTAGGAGCTTACATAGGAGTGCTGGTTGAAATTTTTCTTAATGGGTAAAAAAATTAGTTGTTTTGTGGATAATTATTTATCTGACCACTGATTATATAGTATGGCACATTAAATGTCCACTATACAAAATGAATCCCCAGTCATTGAGTTTTCAGTCATATTACTGGGAATGATAACTTTGACCTTAAGTAATTAACATTCAGTTTTTCTTCAGATTTCTAATTTTGGCTTTTGAGTGATAAATTGAACTCTTTGATGAATATTTGTACTTTTCATAACAAATTTATTTACTAATGCCAGACTTCTGAGAGGCCAACCAAAGGGTAGGGTTCTCTAAACTGATCATATGCCGACTATGCAGAGAAAGCATGTTGTATGAAAGTAGCAGGGGAAAAATAGACATTAGACAATAATAACTGATTATTGACATGTCATACCTTGTCATTGATACCTGGTTTTAATGAATAATTATTTGTGATGTTGTTGTTGCCTGTACCCTGCCAAATGTAGATATACTCAAATGTTCTTAATATTAATAGTCCCAGAATCTAAGGTGCTTTTAGATCTAATGCTTTAGCATGATTTGACACTTTTAGGCAGGCCAAGCCATACATGTTGGTGGCTTAATGAGACTAGATATTGATCAAGCTTCAGTACAAACAATTTATGTGACCGTTTGGGCATCGCCAAATGTTTCACTACACTTGGGAAAAATAGAAAATGCTGATGAAACCTGGAAAAATCACGTTGGCATCAGGTTGCAGGTAAGATTTCACTTGAAAGAGTCTTACAATTAACATTACACAAATAGCTTAGTTGCTTCTGTTTAGTTCTGGATAGTTCATCGATGCCTGTGTGTTGCTTACTATTACTCATCTAGGCTTCATTCCTTTATTAATATGTGGTCAATTAAATTAATAACTACCAAGATAAATTATTAATATGTGGTTTCTTGTGTCATACTTGCAATGTGCTGTGTCCCGTTGCTTCTTGAGTAATTCCCACTTAATTGTGAGTGCTTAGTTCTTCTCTAAAGTAGAGACTATAAATCTTTTAGAGAAAATACTTAAATATAGAGTTTTAACACTGATGAACCCGTTGTTACTAAATGTTACAAACGTGAGGAAAAGAGGGGGCAAAAAGGGTAATCAACTTGGGGACAGGTGGCCTGAAAGGTGGCCTGGGTAGTTTGTTAGAATTTGGGTGTCAGGAATAAAGGACTAAGGGGGTGTGTGTGAGGGATCATTCTGAATATTTGGTAAAAAGGGTGTGGGAGGAGCTGGCCCTCAAAGTCCAGTCTGTTCTTTTGTTTCTCTTGTTTTTCTTTTGTTCTGATTACCTTTTACTGATTCAGATATAGCTAATGAATATTGCCTTTTTCTTCAGTTATTTGTTGTTTGGTTTATTACTTGTTTAATTGTGGTTTGGAATATTGTGTGTTCTGGAGTTGCTGCTGTTATTTTGGTTTGTATTCTGTGTTGTGAGTGAAAAGGGAGGTTGAGGTCAGAGGTATTCATCAAACACTTACATTTTCTTTTTGGAAGGACGAACTTGGTTCACCATAGCTGATGCCATTTAAATGATGGGACCAAAGAAATGCAATATTAAATAGAGTTGTTTGGTTCTTTAAGTTATTTTGTGTAACACAACAAAGTTTAGTAAAGATTATCCCATAATAAGCCTTCATGAGTTGGATATTGGATCAAGTGCTCGTTTGGTTCGGATTATCTATGGGTCAAAAGAGTTTTTTCAAGGTCTGAAGCTGTTTTCTATTTTTTGTTTCATTTGGTTGTTACTTAAGAAGACCTTATGGGTGATCAAATAAGTTATTATATATCTACGTTGAGAAGTTCAAAATTTGGGCTTTTTTAATAAGCTCTTTTTGATCTTTTTTAAAATTCCAGCTTGTTATCTTCGAAATTTCACATTATCCTTTCTTGACATTTAACTCATAGAAAACTTCTTAGATGTAAACAACCAAACAATTAGCATCTTTTTTTTTTCCCTTCTTTTTTTTTTTTTTAAAAATTTAAATAAAAGCTCAACTTTTATGGATCTACTTCAATAAGCTCTACTTTCCTAGCTGTATAAAGAAGACTACCATCTATTAGCTCATAAATAGATGGTTGCATAGTATCTAAAGCCCCAAACTTAAGAAACGCGGGAAATATGAAAACTCTAGATGATATTACTATCGCTACTCAAGCACTGACAGTTTATAAGTATCTCACTTCCCCAAGCCACTCTGCTATAAAAGGTGAAATAGTGCTTCAGTCTTACAGAGATCTTCATAAAGAAAAGGTTAATATACAGGTTTTTAGTTAAGTTTGTGTTTTATGAAGATTAATGAGACAGTATGTCTTCCCATGATCTTTGAGTGCATACATGAATAATATAAAAAAAAATTGAGAAAGACAGGCAAAGCATATATTATTAACTGAGAAAGGAGTTTGTCAGATTAGTCAGTGTGTAAAAAAGGGTTTACTTGTTGGTTGAGTTGGCTCTTTCAGATGTTACTAGAGCATGGCTTGGTCTTTGGTGAAAGATGTGTCCATTTAGCATCTTTATTTTCCGTTTTATTATTCTTTTCTTCCTACCAATTTTTTAGAAAGTCATCCATTGTGAAGTAAAACTGGGGTTCTGGATCTTTTGTAGAGATGAATGATATTAAGCTTTTTTGTCTCTCTTCTGAACTTTTAAATCTCTTGAATAACAAGTTTACTTTGTTGTTTCAACTCTTTCTGAATTTTACTTCAGTGAATTTTATGGTTAGTGTAACTTTATTTACCTTTTTCTCTCAGCCTCCTATTGGCCAAGACAGAGCTTCTGAGTTGGGCAAATGGGAAGACAGGAAATTCAAGGTTTCTGGAACGAGTTGGGATGTGAACAGCATTGACATCGCTGCAGCTGGCTTGGGTTGGTTTTCTTTGGGTCTCAAAGGTGACGCGACCTTGTCATTTTGGACATATGATGGTATCGAAATAACTTTAAGAGAACCTTTAGTTCTTGACAGAGCACCATTCCTTGAGAGACCTGGATTTTGGCTACCGAAACTTATATCAGATGCTATCGGCAACCAAAGCAAACTTGAAGCTCAAAAGAGGAAAAAGCTTGGAGATAGTATAGAATCCCTTTCTGAGGTTTCTGCTTGAAACGGAAAGAATTCATCCCCTTCCTCTCTGCAGTATGGTTGAGCTCGAAATTTAGAAAGATTGTAAAGTCCGAATGGGAAATAGATTCTGCTGGTTTATCTGAAGGGAAATGGATGATACCTTAAAACATTCCATTCATCCAAATTTTGTCAGGTGGGTTTTGTTCACTTGAGGTTGTATTGTTTCCCAAATTGAAAGAAATAACGATTCTGATGACAATTTTATTCATTTCGGTGGATGATGAAACTGCGGGAAGGGGTTGCTAGACTCAAGTCGGATGGAGGGGTGTATCTTTGTCTGTTATAAATGTAATATTATCTAACATGTTTATTATGGGAATTTTGATCGCTTAGCCCCCACTAAATATTTAATTTAAGGATCTTCAATCCTTTCTCACAAAAGAAAAAGATACAAATACTTAATTATGGAAGATACCGTCTTTTAACATGTTACAAATATCACTGTCTTGTAATATGCAAGGTGTCCAGCAAGATGATGTGCTGCAAGACTTACAAAATAGTATTATGAGAAATTGATTAAAATTAAAGAAAACATAAATAGGGGTAAAAACTCCATAAATATTCAAATACCATAGAAAGTTTGTTCTGCTAGTGCTAGTGCTGGAGATAAAATTAAAGTTGTTTGGCTGGTAGTGAATGACAAAACAAAGAACCTTGTAGGCAACTCGTTGTTTTCCTAATTGTGTTCCCGTTGGCGTGAGTCACAACTCAAAAGTCGGTCAGTTTCCTATAGCATAATGAAGATAGGGAAAAACAGAACTGAGGCCACTATAATATATTATTTTTTCCATGAATGTCCTCCCTTAAAAATTTACAGGTAATATGTGAAACAATGGCACATCACACTGCCCTTTTAACTTTTAAGTTAAGATATTTGCTTTGCCAGGATGTTTTTAAACCAAGTTACATTCTCTCGTTATCTCACTCTCATCTAGGTAGAAACATGAATCAGGATAAGCAGAAGCTTTAAATATGTTCCCTTGCTTCTTTTAATGCTCTTAGCTCTGATCAGCACTTACTTGCCTTCATTCAATCTCCAATGTCGGAGATCAAATATCATAAATTACCAGAAATAACGAACTGCCACAACCTTTTATACTAACCCACCAAAAGAACTCATTTTGCAGTAATCACACCCATAAAACAAGGCAATTAAATAGATACCCAGAAAATTGGCAAAACTCAGAGATCAGTCAGATAAATAAAACTATTGCTTCTACCCCAGTTGTGAAGGTCCAAGATCACTGATTCCATATAACAAGAAGAAAGTCCAGTATGCAGAGTCCAAATTAGTATCAAGGTTAGATTGCCCACCAATCAACAATGTTTACAGGGGTCTAAACTCTAAAGAATCAACAAAGATGCCAATCTAAGCTGCCCATTTGGCTTAAAAACTATTCATCGCAAGTCTTGGATGACTTATAGAGGGAGATTCCAACAGAAATTTTTTTTCCTCATTTTTCTAAACTTGTACAATTTCATTTTTTTACATTTTTCTTAAGGTTTCTTTGGTTAACTGAAAACAAAGACACGAGAATGAACAAGGAGTTATACAAGAGTTGCAACCTTGCTCTTTACAGCAATTACAGAATGCGGAAACTACATTACTCTAGTTGGTTGTTGGATAAACTGTAAGCTAAAGCCATTGCATATTCCCCTTTTCAACGAGGTTGCTGGATGCAGCGGGGACTGCACTTTGGGTTCACATACTTGGCTGCCTTCTCAGCATATTTTGCGGGCTCCAAGGACGACGCCTTGGGAGACTTCAACAAGCTCAAATTCTTGAAGACTTCTGCATCCTTTTCCAACCCTATAATTCCAAATCGGAGCTCATCAAATTGAAATTGAAGTTCAATAACTAACAACATGGTTAAAGAGTAAAACTTATGGTATATACAATCCATCCATACCAGCATTAGCAGGTAGAGGGGACGAAACATTTTCGAATTCAGTTTCATAAGACGCAACGAAATCATCAAATTGCGCTGAGAAATTGTCACCAACATCAAGGTCAAAAGTATCAGGAAGCAAGTCAGCAACATTGGTGCAATCAAAATCAAAATCATCTTGATCATTGTCATAAAAGCCATCCTCGCCCTGGTGTTGACTGAGCCAGTAGTCTCGGTACCAAGTGGAGGTAGTAATTAGTTGCCACCATTCAGGGGAAAAATCCTCCACCTGCCTAAAAGCAGCTGGAATGAAAAGTGGGGCATTAGGGTTCAACCTTGAACTTCCTCCAGAAACTAGCGCCATCTGATCCTGTCTTCTATATCTGTATACGTCCCCAGACCAGTCTAAACCAATCAAAAACAAAGGGCAGTAAATTAAAAATTGAAGAATTCAATCAGTCTACTTTACTATTCTACTTGATGAACAACAATCAAATTAGCTTATATGCTCCACCACCACGGACAAAAATCAAAAGCCCAATTCAGAAAACCCAGAAAGAAAAATTCAACATCAGATCAAAGCCTACTTAACCCTTGAAAATAGTAGAAATCAGATATTTAAAAACCCCATCTTTCATGCTAAGCAATTTAAGATAAGTAATTTTTCTTTTTCCCTCTTACTAAAAAAACAAACCAGTTTTCATGATAGATCTAATATTTAGTAAACAATAGGATCATAAAGATGAGATCTCTAATCAACAAAAATATTTTTGTCAACAAAGTTTCACCTCAAACTTGCATAATTTATGTGAAAAAATGAGAAAATAAAATGAAACGAGAGAGATTTTTACCTTAGAGCGAAAGAAAAATATCTGCTTATATTTTTCTGATGCTTGTATTAGGCGAAATGTGATATATAGTGGAGTTCCGAGCCTATTAGGTTCGGTCAACGAGCCTGGTTGGTTAGTGCAATGAAAAACCAGCAACTTGATACCACTGTACAGCCTGCTATATTTTATCCGGTTACAGGGATGCTGTTTCTTGACTTTTGACTTTCGCTTTTGCCTGCTATTTCTTTTTTACGCGTTCTGGTATTGACCACAACCTTGAGTTCTTGCGGGACCCAACCACGTGAGCTCACTAATTTCTAATATTTTAAAAAGTCATTTCGGTGGATGATGAAACTGCGGGAAGGGGTTGCTAGGCTCAAGTCGGATGGAGGGGTGTATCTTTGTCTGTTATAAATGTAATATTATCTAACATGTTTATTATGGGAATTTTGATCGCTTAGCCCCCACTAAATATTTAATTTAAGGATCTTCAATCCTTTCTCACAAAAGAAAAAGATACAAATACCCAATTATGGAAGATACCGTCTTTGAACATGTTACAAATATCACTGTCTTGTAATATGCAAGGTGTCCAGCAAGATGATGTGCTGCAAGACTTACAAAATAGTATTATGAGAAATTGATTAAAATTAAAGAAAACATAAATAGGGGTAAAAACTCCATAAATATTCAAATACCATAGAAAGTTTGTTCTGCTAGTGCTAGTGCTGGAGATAAAATTAAAGTTGTTTGGCTGGTAGTGAATGACAAAACAAAGAACCTTGTAGGCAACTCGTTGTTTTCCTAATTGTGTTCCCGTTGGCGTGAGTCACAACTCAAAAAGTCGGTCAGTTTCCTATAGCAGAATGAAGATAGAGGACAACAGAACTGAGGCCACTATAATATATTCTTTTTTCATTGAATGTCCTCCCTTAAAAATTTACAGGTAATATGTGAAACAATGGCACATCACACTCCCCTTTTAACTTTTAAGTTAAGATATTTGCTTTGCCAGGATGTTTTTAAACCAAGTTACATTCTCTCGTTATCTCACTCTCATCCAGGTAGAAACATGAATCAGGATAAGCAGAAGCTTTAAATATGTTCCCTTGTTTCTTTTAATGCTCTTAGCTCTGATCAGCACTTACTTGCCTTCGTTCAATCTCCAATGTCGGAGATCAAATGTCATAAATTACCAGAAATAACGAACTGCCACAACCTTTTATACTAACCCACCAAAAGAACTCATTTTGCAGTAATCACACCCATAAAACAAGGCAATTAAATAGATACCCAGAAAATTGGCAAAACTCAGAGATCAGTCAGATAAATAAAACTATTGCTTCTACCCCAGTTGTGAAGGTCCAAGATCACTGATTCCATATAACAAGAAGAAAGTCCAGTATGCACAGTCCAAATTAGTATCAAGGTTAGATTGCCCACCAATCAACAATGTTTACAGGGGTCTAAACTCTAAAGAATCAACAAAGATGCCAATCTAAGCTGCCCATTTGGCTTAAAAACTATTCATCGCAAGTCTTGGATGACTTATAGAGGGAGATTCCAACAGAAATTTTTTTTCCTCATTTTTCTAAACTTGTACAATTTCATTTTTTTACATTTTTCTTAAGGTTTCTTTGGTTAACTGAAAACAAAGACATGAGAATGAACAAGGAGTTATACAAGAGTTGCAACCTTGCTCTGTACAGCAATTACAGAATGCGGAAACTACATTACTCTAGTTGGTTGTTGGATAAACTGTAAGCTAAAGCCATTGCATATTCCCCTTTTCAACGAGGTTGCTGGATGCAGCGGGGACTGCACTTTGGGTTCACATACTTGGCTGCCTTCTCAGCATATTTTGCGGGCTCCAAGGACGACGCCTTGGGAGACTTCAACAAGCTCAAATTCTTGAAGACTTCTGCATCCTTTTCCAACCCTATAATTCCAAATCAGAGCTCATCAAATTGAAGTTCAATAACTAACAACATGGTTAAAGAGTAAAACTTATGGTATATACAATCCATCCATACCAGCATTAGCAGGTAGAGGGGATGAAACATTTTCGAATTCAGTTTCATAAGACGCAACGAAATCATCAAATTGCGCTGAGAAATTGTCACCAACATCAAGGTCAAAAGTATCAGGAAGCAAGTCCGCAACATTGGTGCAATCAAAATCAAAATCATCTTGATCATTGTCATAAAAGCCATCCTCGCCCTGGTGTTGACTGAGCCAGTAGTCTCGGTACCAAGTGGAGGTAGTAATTAGTTGCCACCATTCAGGGGAAAAATCCTCCACCTGCCTAAAAGCAGCTGGAATGAAAAGTGGGGCATTAGGGTTCAACCTTGAACTTCCTCCAGAAACTAGCGCCATCTGATCCTGTCTTCTATATCTGTATACGTCCCCAGACCAGTCTAAACCAATCAAAAACAAAGGGCAGTAAATTAAAAATTGAAGAATTCAATCAGTCTACTTTACTATTCTACTTGATGAACAACAATCAAATTAGCTTATATGCTCCACCACCACGGACAAAAATCAAAAGCCCAATTCAGAAAACCCAGAAAGAAAAATTCAACATCAGATCAAAGCCTACTTAACCCTTGAAAATAGTAGAAATCAGATATTTAAAAACCCCATCTTTCATGCTAAGCAATTTAAGATAAGTAATTTTTCTTTTTCCCTCTTACTAAAAAAACAAACCAGTTTTCATGATAGATCTAATATTTAGTAAACAATAAGATCATAAAGATGAGATCTCTAATCAACAAAAATATTTTTGTCAACAAAGTTTCACCTCAAACTTGCATAATTTATGTGAAAAAATGAGAAAATAAAATGAAACGAGAGAGATTTTTACCTTAGAGCGAAAGAAAAATATATGCTGATATTTTTCTGATGCTTGTATTAGGCCAAAGGTGATATATAGTAGTGGAGTTCCGAGCCTATTAGGTTCGGTCTACGAGCCTGGTTGGTTCGTGCAATGAAAACTCAGCAACTTGATACCACTGTACAGCCTGCGATATTTTATCCGGTTACAGGGATGCTGTTTCTTGACTTTTGACTTTCGCTTTTGCCTGCTATTTCTTTTTTACGCGTTCTAGTATTGACCACAACCTAAACGTGGCACGTCACCTTGCGGGACCCAACCACGTGAGCTCACTAATTTCTAATATTTTAAAAAAGGGAAATTAAGAAATGTTTTAGACGTGGGAAGCATAATACATGTTTTATGGTGTAATTATAGTTATGAGTAATTTAATTTCGGTAGTGGAACTTTAATTAACACATATAAGGACAAATGATTAAAAGTGAACGGCTAGGATACTGCCAGGAAGTGGTGATAAGATGGGGACGGTTTAGGTAGGGAAGAGCAAGTAATGCGCGTAATCCACATGGATTGTTGGTGGGTAAGGTAAGAAGATGATTGAAAATTGACACCTCCACCAAATCATACTCTACTTTATTATCTAAACCTTAATTAAGATTATTTGAAGTGTGAATTTAACATTGCCAGTGAAATTTGTAATAATATACATTTTAAAATTAAATTACAATATTTATGATTGTATTAGTCATTGATCTTCAGTTAAAATTTCTTTATTGATGATTGATTAAAAAAAAATTTCACCATAAATCAATATTTCTCCTCTGCCGGCTGTTCATTTTTTTTTTTTACTAATTTTAATGCAGAAAAATTAACTTAAGAAAGTTTTTCTGTTAATTTTATAGTATTAATCTAGGCTGTACAGGTGTCCTCAAATTGATGACTCAGATACATTCACTTTCACTCTTTATAAAAGCTCATTCCTCATCTCTATCTTCATTTTTACCGACCCTATCCTTTTTTTGTTCACCATCAATCAGGGTTGGACCAGCTTAAAATTTTAGTTTGATCTTCCAGTTAATTTCAAAAATGCCCCCCATTTTTTAAGGCCTGTAAGCCTGTAACTTAAGAGAGCTCAAAATTGGTGGCTCAATTAAATAAAGACTAATAATGCTACGGACATAGAAAACTTTGCACATAAATTTTGCACCATGTCAGTTGACTAAACATAGCCACATAGTATATTAACAAATATTCTGTGAATAAACAGTTACCCACCAAATATAGACGGTTGTCTGTGATTATTGGACGACTGATCATTTTAAATGGACTTTCGTCAATGAGAAAATAACAATGGATTCCCAAATCCATTTACTCCCCGTCCATATTTTAAACTAAAAAAATTTGAAAACAAAAATCATGGACGTTCGTCCATAATACTCAAGGAACAAGCGTCCACCTAGAATAGACTCTCGTCTATAATTTAAATTAAAACATTTTTAAAACCAAAATCATGGACACCTGTTCATGCAGTGTACACAAGTAGTAATGAAAAAAGAAACACAACATAGAACCCAATATTTTTCCTCCCTTATCCCATTTTTACATCCACACTCATCTAATCTCATCCAAAATTTGAAAATATTCTGGGTGGTCCGACAAAAACAAGTTCCATATAACATAATCCAACCATTCTATTCAAAAGAAAATAAAAGAAACATATCTTTTTGTTCAAGAAATGAAAAGTAAGCAGAATCATGTCTTAACTATTGGTTTCATCAAGGGATTGGAAGAATTCCCAAACTACATGCTTTTGATTATAATTGAACAAGATGTGATGTGGATAAAATGAAGCTTTGCTCTCTGTACACATGTATTGACTAGTTAATATTTCAGACCATAAAATAATTCTATTACCATAAAATAATCATGTTGCTGTTCATGATGTTCATCAAAGGAAAGATTCAAGGCATTATAGAAATTTTGGTTTTAAAAATGTTTTAATTTAAACTATGGACGGGTGTCTATTCTAAGTGGACGTCCGTCCCTTGAGTAGGGATGCCCGTCCATAATATACGGACGGGCGTCTATGATTTTTGTTTTCAATTTTTTTTAATTTAAAATATGGATGGAGTAGACGCCCGTCTGTAGTAAATGGACTACTGTCCATATAATATAGACGGGAGTCTATTCTTATTTTCTCATGGATGGGAGTCTATTTAAAATGAATGGTCGTCCAATAATCACGAACAGTCGTCCATATTTGATGGACGACCATTCATTCGCGGAATATTTATTAATATGATACATGGCTACGTCTACTCAATTGACAC